CTCTCTCTCTCTCTCTCTCTCTCTCTCTCTCTCTCCTCCTTTCCCCACCCCACCCCACCCACAAGGAGGACACTTGTGAGGTTGTGAGGACTTCCTCAATCATCAATCATGGGACCCAGACAACTTATAACACATCCCTTACCACACTGCCCCTGCTTTTTTTTATCCCATCAGAAAAACAGACACAAATCTCACTGCACCCCACCCCACGCCCATTCTGCTGTTCCCATCTCTGATGACCCCACAGCCCCGGGTCGGCTTCCCCAGGGGAGCAGAGTGGCAGACCCACGGTCACCAGCCTAGGCTGCAGAGGAGGGCACCTGGCTTGGTGGAGTCAGGGAACAGAGTTAGGAAAGGAAATAGACAAACAGGAAACGGGGGCCGCAGGGTCTGTCTCAAGCACCCCGTAAAGCTGACGGGATGGGACCCCTCACAGCCACAGAGTCACCCACAAGACAGACTTGGTACCTCTTGTTCAAGGCCACGAGGCTAAGTAGCCAGCTGAGACTCTGTCCATCTGCTCAGTGAGTCACCACCTGTATCCCCAAAAGACGCAGGATCCCCCAGGTACTTCACACTCTAACCCTTAACCTCAGAAGGCACAGGGCAGCAGAATCTCTGACCAAAGCCGGCTATTGAATCCACCTCAGGGGACTTGGAGCTGGGGAATAAACTCCATGGGCTTCTATAATTCCTAGGTGGACGGAAGGAGCTTAGGATCTGCTGTGGACAGGGCAGGACAGGCACACCACCACATCAACCATGGGAACAATGAGCCATCTGTCCACTCCAGCCCAAGGCCAGCACGATGAGCCCACCTCTGATGTCCTCGTGTCTCACGTTGGTATCTTGACCCTCTCCTCCACCCCGAGCCACGGGCTCTAATGAGGAACAGATGTGGAGCCGATTGCTGCCCATCAGGAACTTAAGTCCCCAGGATGCCTAAGCCCACACAGGTGAACCCTGACATGCCTGCTGAGGGACACTCTGTTCCCCGGCGGGGCCTAAAGGACCCTCAGGAGCCCCTACCCACTCGGCCTGGGTCCACGTAGCCCAGCAGAGCATCTGGTACCGTCCAGGGTAGGGAAAGATGTGCGGACAGGGGTGCAGGGAGCAAGGCCCAGCCCACTCAGGGCTGGGGAACAAAAACATCAAGGGCTTCCCTCCCCCTCGCTCCCAACAGTCACCTCTTAGGAATGCAGAGCCCTTTATAGAGGAGGAGAGGAGGGCAGCTCTCGGCTAAGGCCTGGCCAGCCCATCCTCGGGAATGGCAACGGTACCGGGCACAGGGTGGCTCCGAGGGGGTAATTGCTGCCGCGGGACCCAGCCTCGTTACGCAGCGCCACACGAAAGCTAGAGCTCTGAGTTTCTAAGAAGTTGAGGCCTAGGTCCCTCACACACAGGAGATGTGGTGCAAATAACCCAAGACACCGGACCACACCAGTCTCTCCACTCCCGCCCTGATGTTCGTTAAAGCCCCGATGGGGACCCTGGCCAGCCACAGAGGCGGCAGCTGAAGACGTCCCAGTGTTCTCACCAGTCACTCAATGCCCAAGAGCAACACCTGCATTGACGCCACACACGGGCTTGAGGGGAAAGGGCTCCACCGTCACGGAATGCTGGGTCTAAGAGTGGAAAGGGAAACGGGGTACAAATGCAACTCCCCGGATCTTTGTGTCCTACATCCTGTCAAGGAGCAGTCTTTCTGGGACACCAGCGGTGCAGCCGTCAGTCAGGTACATTCCAAAGACCCCCCCAGGAGGACTGGGGACATGACTCACTCGGTAGAGTGCTTGCCTACCATGCATGAGGCCCTGGGTTCGATCCCCAGCACCGCACAGACCGTGTGTGTGTGTGTGTGTGT